AATCGTGTCTCTAAATGAAGAAAACGAAGCGGGCAACGAACATAATAGGAGCAAGGCCAAATTTTCTTCATCATACTCTACTTCCAAAGTTTCAAATCAGCGACGATCTCCTTAAATACAGTCTTAACTTTCCTTTGTCTAGATTTGATGGGAATGAGTAAAAACAGATAGAAAAATCTATTTGCAATAGGAAATCGATGTAAAATAGAACAAATACGATGACAAGATATTAAAATAATACATGTGCAAAAACATGTTTTGGAGTAGGTTTCAATATTACATTGCAAAAATTCACTGTGTGCATAATAAACAAGGTGAAAATAATTCTTCAATAGTGAAATTTTTATTAAATTTTCATTTGTTGCTAGAGTTGTTCTGTCGTCCATTCCAAACTTGGTCCTTTGAGAGAGCATCAGAATAAGCGCAAGTTTGTGTAGTCTTTTCCTGCGAAAGAGCTTGGATGATGGAAATCTTCATCATCTTGATGGTAAAACAAAATTTCATCCGAAGTTCAACTTGAGCACCCGTAAAATAAAAAGGGAATAAACTTTTTGTCCTTAGACCGCACGCCGTCATAAAACTCAGTACAATTTCATAATAATAATCACTACTTTAGCAAAATAATTAAAAAAAAAAAAAAAGCATTTAGATTGAAAGATATACCATATGTGAAAGTTATGTGTCCAAAATTGACATGAAATAAAAAAGACTGCTGTTATCTGTTCCAAAAGCAAAAGCCCTTTGGTATTCCTGTGGGGAGTTGGTTGTCTTCAAGATACTTTGCTAAGTGCATACTTCATTTCCATTTTGTAAACTTTTTAGTTATCTCAATAATTATTTGTTATTTTGAATATTGTAGTCCAGTTATTTTATCCAACATTGCATTTTTATAGCACTCGCATGACTTTACTACAATTCCAATAGTTCACCAAAATTATGAAAAATTACTAAAATTTTAGAATGTAAGGGTAAAGGTTTTGAAATACATACCATTCTTTGGGGGCTGGGGCTTTCTTTGCATTGGCTTGCCATTCTTGCCACTTCTTGTAGTCCGAATCAATATTAATATTTGAAAGTCTGCTTGTAGGCAACAGCTTGATCAACAAATAAATGAATAATACTTGATCTACGAGTGTGAATGTGTGTATGCATATATACATATTCACATATACTAACTAAAGAAGAAATATTATACTTCTACAATCCAAGGTAAAGAAGAATACTACTCGAGAATGGTTTTTTATTTTCATCTTGCTAGTGTGAACAAATATGAGAGTTGTGTGCTATATATATATATATGCACTTATATGAGGTGGGAAGAAAGATGATACCTAGATACTTCATGGTATATGGAGTGACCTGCTATTCACAATGCTTTTGTCCCTATCGGATTTGTGTACAGGTGTGTGCTCATGTGTGCGAGAATATAAACAAATACATAGTGAAGAAGAAAGAAAATACCTAGACTGTTCCTGGTCAGGAAGGATGCTACTCATAACATTTGTATCCTTCCTACAAGTGGACAAATTTTAAAAAATTAAACAAAATTAAAANAAATACATAGTGAAGTAGAAAGAAAATACCGAGACAGTTCATGGTTTGGAAGGATGCTACTCATCACATTTGTATCCTACCTACAAGTGGACAAATTTTTATAAATTAAACAAAATTAAAATAAAAATAGTAAGTATGGGAACTTATGGATTATGAAAGTATGAAAAATATACTTAAAAACAACCAGAAAAAAAAAAAAAAGAAATGCCTATGTATTGAACCTTAGACTACTTGAACTGTCAGCATGGGGGCGCTTTCGAGTCAATGCTTGCTCTTCTTCCCCAATAAGGTTTGTGCTAGACCTACCATAAGATTTTAAGTGTACAAGAAACACATTTAAATTGTATTATAATCAATTGATTTAGAAAATAAAGAAGACTTAAAACAACCAATTAAATCATTTATAGTCTATTCTGACTTAAACAAAAGGGACTTGCCTATCTAAATATGGTAGTGGACAAGAATTGTAGTCATGAGAGTTGGGAACTCCAGAGTTGGCATTGTCTCTGGTTATATTTCTGCTACGATCTTTAACCAGTGAGACGTAATTTCTACCCATAGCTACTATATGTGACAATGAGTAGTCATCTCCCTTCTCT